GAGGAAGACATGAGGGTGTATCATTGTGGTTAGTCGATTTTTTTTTTTCGAATGTACTTTCAAAATAAATATTTACCATTTCGGGTGGCAGATAGACCAATGGTATACGCTGCTCCAACAAGTCTAAACTTTTGCACATAACGCCATCCAGATGCTTTAGAGGCGCTTCGAAAAGTTTGACTGCAGGCTGTACTGATTCGTAGGCGGCACTGATGGTCATCTCGGCAGTTTCAAAATACCAATTAAAAAGTCGATTATTTTGTTTGACTTTACCGTAGATATTTTCGATGCGTTTGAAACTGGTCTCGACCAATGGAATGCTAACGATTCTGTCCAGAGATTCTAGATGCAGTTTACTGCCCGGTGCATTGGCTTTGGAAAGAAATTTTGAAAATAATCCATAAATTGTTTTGAGTTTTTGAGGATTAATGTTATGTTAGAAATGGGCTTGGTTATTGTCCATGGCATTTAGCCATTTGAAATATTTATCTACCTTGGGCTCACACCCCATTGGGCTGAGTTATCTCAATTTATACAGCAAATATTTGTTTTTTTTGTTTCAAAAATTTTCAATAATTTACTTGGTGAGGCCAAAAAGAATAGCTCTGATGCAGTACGCTATGAACTTATAGGTTTTTATACGAACTTGCAAGCAGTTATAGGAAAAAATCCAGTAAATGAGAGCTACTTTTGGAGAGTTATTTAGAGAATGAAGCTGCAAGATTTTATTCGAACTTTTTCTTTTGGTTAAATAATGAAAAGAGTCAAGCGATCACTGGTTTATCGTTTTCCAAGAAAAATGCTTTTTTTGCTCCCGTACTTTTTTTCTCTTCTCTTTGATTTTGAGCACATATGTTGCCGGAACAAAACTACGTAACGTACTTAAAAAAAGGAATAAGTGGCTTTTAACTATTTTAAAATTTATGAAATTTGAAACTATTTTAAGTAGTTAAGTATACAAGAAAGGGCGTGAGTATTGGTGGGTAACCGATACGGCTTGAAAAAAAAAACATTCGCCGATTCAGTTACATACACAAATACATAGGTTAGCTTAGAAATCAAATATTAATTTAATTTTGTTGAATTCAGTAGACGAATTTTCCATAGCCACTTTGGGATTAGTTCAGGGCTATTTCAGGAATATTTCGTGACTAGTTTCAAACTACCCAGAAATGACCAGCACTTGTCCCAATATTTTTCAGAAAAAAACCGTGAACCAGTCCTGAAATAACCTCAAACAAGTCTTGAAACAGTCCCTTACTACTTCCCATATAGTCGTGAACTATCCCGAAATAGTCTCGAAATGGTTCAAAACTAGTTTAAAATTACCCTCAAACAGTCATAAACTAGGCCAAAAATGTTGCTGAACTGACCCGAAATAGTCTTGAAATAGTCCTGGACAGATTGCGAAATGGTCCCGTACTATTCCCGATAAGGTCTTAACCTAGTCGTGAAGTAAACCCAAAAATATCGTAAAATAGCCCGGAATTAGTTAAGAAATGTGCATTTTTACATATAAGAAGCCATTACAGATTTTCTGCTGGATTACACCAGAAGAAGTTAATTTTTTTTTTNGCTTGATTAACGAAAATTTTACCCATACCGAGTGCTAAGATGTTTACACATAAAAAAATTGTGTGTTAGGTCACTTTTGCTTTCACGGCTCATAAATGTAAATTCATTCCGATTCCGTTAGGCTATTGCAATCAACCGTTATGTGACCATTGCTATCATATTCTTTTGATTAAGTAAATATGCTTTGCCACAAAAAAAAAAAAAAACATTTTTATATTTTCCATTTGCTCAACACTAACCCATTTTGAAAACTTCTGCTTTTGTTTTTCAGTTCCAATGTATAATCTGTGACGTGTTTTTAGAAAAGTTAATTATTTTCTCGTAAAATTGAATCTTAGTACCCGTATTTTTACGCCCGCTCGAAAATTAAATTGAATCTTTCTTCACGAAAGCTAAACGTCGACTGTTTTGCGCTGCACTTGCGGTCTGCTGATATTTTCAATTGGGAAAATATTTTCCAATTTCTACTCTGCTTTTGAGCTCTGGAATTTTGTAGTAATCTATGAAAAAATGACCTTTAATGCCTGACAACGACGGCGTCTACATTGCGAAGCTGATAACGCAATGGCTTGACGGCCCATTACTATCAAGTGAGGGTGCTATTCGTAAGTGTACTTACATATGCTATATATGTATGTATGCATATGTATATAAAAATGCATCCTATCGTAACTAGTAATCGCATGAAGACTTGCTTCAAGCATTCTCAGTGCGCCTGTTAAGCACGCTTATACGACATAGAGTCAAAGTACAATTTGATTCGCGCCGGTTGCCGGCATCTGATTTGGTTTTTTTTTTTCTTAATTATAAGCTAAAAATAAATTATTTAAGCCTAAATCATGTGCACATATGCATTTATGTAATAAGTTATTACTTTTTTAATTTTTGATGATTTTCCTATATTTCTGACTACTGTTATGATAGCACATGTATGTACTAGGGATGTTGCGAATGTGGAATTTTAGACATCCGCGGATATTTAACAGCTAACATCCGCGGATGCGGTTGCGAATGCGATGTCAAGTATTTTTAAGAAACAATTTGGTAAGTAAATTAAGTTGTTTAGGTAAATAAAAAATGGAAAAGTTAATAACTTTTAATAATGTTTATTTTATTTAGTCTTGTATTCAAAAATTTCAATTTAATAAAAAGTAATGAGAATTGCATCTTCGGCCGCTGTGGTGTAGTGGTAAGCAGTGAGCGCTTCCACTCCGCAGCACCTGGGTTCAAACCCTGGTGAAACCAACATCGCAAAAATATAGAAAAAAAGGTTTTTTCTTAACAGCGGTCGTCCCTCGGCAGGCAATGGCAAACCTCCGAGTGTATTTCTGCCATGAAAAACAGCTTCTCATAAAAATACAATCGCCGTTCGGAGTCGGCGTAAAACTGTAGGTCCCTCCGCTTTGTGTGACAACATCAAAGCGCACGCCACAAATCGGCCAAACACTAACATATGTGTAAGCGCCCAATCTATTATTATTAGTATTAATGAGAATTGCATCGGGGCTGAAAATGTCAGATGAATCTTCTTAACTTTCATCTTCACTTGAAGAGACTTCGAAGAGAAAACTTGACTTGAAGAGAAATTTGTGTTATAGCGAGCTAAATAGGTAGATATATGAGAAAATAAATTATTGTTTTGCAGGAATGAAAATTTTGAGTAAAATTGTGTTTTCAAATATCGTGGCTGCCAGCCGAATCGGATCGAGAATATAGTTTTGTTTTTTTAAAATTAAACAAAAACAAGTTTTTTATATGAATTTGAATTATTCGAATCACGTGATGATGAGGGTCTCAGATAGTTGCGTAAATCTTACCTATTAAAGGTCACGTTTTAAAGCTTTTAAATTACTTACTCTTAAGAGCTTACTCTTTGACTTTAAATATCAAACAAGGGATACGTAGGGGGACAGTTTTGCCACAGAAATTTTTTGCTAAGGATCCAATGTATATGCTTATAAAAAATATCGGCCGAAAAGTAAATAAAATTAGTGTTTTTGAAATGTTTTTCCAAAAATAAATTCCCCATTTGAAATGATTGAAAGGAATATATTTCATTTAAAATTATAGTACACATTTTCTTCTTTTATGTCTAGTAGTTTTTTTTTTAAGATTGGTTCAAAAAAATCATAATAAAGAAAGATACCAATGTAGGTATTTGAAGCACAGAAAAAAAATATTGTTAAAAAGGCTATGCTCTCTTTGACGTACGTCAAAAGTCAAGCAGAAGTGGTAAGCTTTTATGACTCGCCGTTGATAGCTCGGTTAAATAGCTTAGGAAATAATATGATTAAAGATACTTTTATCAAAGTTGATAAATAAGATATTTCACCAGTTTTCTTACACCAATAACAACCATGTGCGGCGACTGGGTCATGTTACCTAACGTCGCATCTCCACAGGCAAAAAATATTGGCTACAATCATGGTACATTTTGTTTGGCAGATATAAGTTTTATCGGTGCACTTGCACAACATTCGAATTCGCAAGAAGCTCCGCATTGATTATTCGATCGAAAAGCGAATAATAAAATTAATGTGGAAGTTTCGCATTTGCGAATGCGAATCGAATATTCGCAACAACCCTCGGTATGTACATACATACATACGGAATATACTACACCTACACTGTTAATTTTGTTCCAGAACACTCGTTTATGCAGTGAAATATTTGAAATATCAGTTATTCATATCATAGTAATTAGCCACAAATGTTTTGCAGATATTACAATACATAATACTAACTTTAGCATCTTTAAGGGATCTATCTGTGGTTAGCTGAAGGAGAGCGGGAGACGAGGTTTAGAGTTGTGTTTAGTTAGGTTAGATAGGATGAGGTAGGAATTACATTTTATACGAGTATTTATGTATCGAGCCCATATGGTTTATAATTGCACATCAAGTCAACCACACACTTCATATGCCTTATATAGCAGGGAGGGAGAGAGAGAGAGAGAGAGAGAGAGGATATGCGGTCATGCCTATGAAGCGGCACGCAAAATGTGACCTTATAAAGACTTTTAAATTGACTAAATGCTGGAAATGCCGGCGACTTATTACTTCACTAAGTATGTCTCAGCGAGGAGATTATGAGAGTTGCATACAAAAAAATTTCATTTTGGCATTTCGCAGTTAAGCTGCCATATCTTTCTTGGCAAATAGCATAGCTAGGTAAGTTCTTGACATTACGCTCAGTGATCAGATCTCGGCGTGGAAGGACCTGAAGAGTTGGGATATAGAATTTAGCATAGAGGACTCGCCCCCGTCTCTAAATGGTTACAAAATACCACAAGAACTAATGGGGGGTATTACAGAAAACTTTTACGCAAGAGTCTACTTTTTGAGCAAATCTAACACGCCAGAAACACGGGAGGAACTTGATCAATTCGTTAGTGTTTTTGTTGAGATTTGCCAGATAGCACTAGTCAAGGCGTGCCCCAAAAGGAAAATAAAGGAGGCATATAAACCATCCTGGGGGTGCTTCGATCGAAATAAACTTCGTCTAGAATTTAGGAAAACGTTTAAAGCTGCCAAGCGCGACGTCGTAATCGATACTTAACATCTACAAGATAACAATAACGAAAGCGAAACGTGCGAAGGTATAGAGGCTACATCCGAAGCCTGTAGGCTTCAAAAGGTAAGTGACAGGAATATCTCTTGGCCTTATCTAATTTCAAGTATAAGTCACCGGGACTATGTAGATGGAATATATCCGGTCCAGTTACAACACAATGGAACGTACAAAAATCATGGCTAAAACCATTTCCCCAGCTGGAGAAATTTAAGGCCTATTTCTTCTTATGACTCTAGAAATAATTTTTTGGCGAATTTTTCCGTTGAACTTGACGAACTTGTCCTTTTCGAGTGAAATCACGAACAAAAATTTTTTCATTTAATTTAAGTTGAAAAATGTAAATTTGGCCGTTTTAAAAATATCTATCATCACTTAAAAGATAAGAGCATTCGAAATTTCATAGAGCCGTTTAACAGTCGTATACTAACTACTAAGAAAATGAAAATTTGAATTACTTGTATGTTTTTCGTTGTCGGTTGACTTTTCTCGAATGTGCCCACTTTCGATCCATGTTGACCTTTGATAAGTTTGATTAAATATGTACCAGTGTTATCAAATGAAATACTATACATACATACTAACATATGTATTTACATATTTACCATATTACTTCTTAAAAACATAATCTAAATAAAAACAGAAAATATTATAAGAACTTTGTGAACTATTCATTAAAATTAAAAATGTAAAAGACAAACATTCGATTTATGCAATAATAGGGGATGCGTTACTCTGAACTTTACACACATACTTCATTAAATGTCTGCTAATGTAAGTTTTGTTTGTCCATCGCATATAAATAAATACAATTTAATCAGCCAGACGGTCTTATTGCAAACCTCGTTACGAATCTGAATATTTACCAGCAAGACTGATTAGTACGAGTGGAGCAAGTATTCTAATATAATTAAAGCACGCATGTAAGCGTATACATACATACTTACTTCCATACATACAGTGACTCAAACAAGTGACCACGCGTTGATTTTTTTTATACCCGAGCGCACTTGCGCACAAGGGTATTATAACTTTGTTCACATAACGGTTGTTTGTAACAACGGTTGTAATAAATGCTCAGAATGAAAAGAGAAGTCGATTAAGCCATGTCTGTCTGTCCGTCCGTTCGTCCGTTCACACGATAACTCGAGCAAAAACTGAGATATCTCAACGAAATTCGGTATGTAGATTTCCCTTTAGCCAAGGTAGGTTGGTATCAAAAATGGGCGAACTCGGACTGTAACCACGCCCACTTCCCATATAACGGTATTTTCGAAAACTGGAAAAACTACGATATTTCAATGAATATTGGATCCAAATTTTTGAAAATTAGAACGTGAAGTCGAATTTTGGTTAAAAAATAGTTTTATTAGAAATTATTTGCAAATCGGGCACTTATGACGAGATGCTGTATCTCAGCACCCGCTTCATCAATCCTTCCCAAACTCGGTACGAGGCTTGCCTAGAGTCTAGCCAAGAAATCTGTTGAAAATATTTGAAGCCGGGCAATAACCACGCCCATATCCCATATAACGGTAATTTACAAAAACGCGAAAATTGCGATAAATCAGTAACTACTGAAGCTAACTGACTCAAATTCGAAAATTACAATAACCATTTAGCATAAAATTATACTATTAAACATTTTGGTGGCGCCGCCCCTCGTATCTCGGTAACTGATTCATAAATTTTCAATATTTCAATAACTGAGGACGATGATAGATTTTGTAATCGATTTTTTATCGATTTTGTAATCGATTTAGTTAACGATTTTGTTATCGATATTTTTATCGATTTTGTTATCGATTTTATTATCGCTTTTGTTATCGATTTTCTTAGTTTGTGCTTTCGTTTTTGACTTGGATATGCTCTTAACCATACCACGTATT